AAACAAATATATGTCGTATAAGTTGTGTTGTTCTAATGATTCTGTTTTGTACATATGGCTATAATTAATTAAATGATAACAATTTGTAAGTCCCAGCTCATGCAGGAACAAAGAAAGATCAATAATCAGCTAACCAATTGATTTGTTGAAGAAGGAACTGTGTCTATTGTGTCATTTGCGTCTGTGTCTATTTTTATTGAAATAAACAACTACAACCAAAAATTAACCTTTGCAAATAAAAAAAAAAAAATGCATCATTTATGGTATAGGATATCATTTTCAAGGCCATCAAAAAGGTCCCATCCAATTCACCATAAATAACTTCCTAAGTAACTACATTAACAAAATTAATATATTTTTAATACTTCTGGAATGAAAAGGGTGCAAAGGACTTTTGACTCACCTTATGTATATATTATGTATATATAACAGTTTCCATAATCAGAAAAGTCTGCTTCACATGTAGTATTTTCATAATTAAAATATAATTATTGTTGCTAATATGAAATGTTATTCAGTAATATCATAATCAATGCATTTTTGAAGTACTCTTTGTTTTATAAGTAGGAGGACCATAACAACTCGCGATTTCTGCAGCTCATCTCCAGATCTTATACTAATTTCTCCAGGTTGACTAATTTTTAAGCATTACTAAATAAAATAATAATTAAATTTCAAGCATGCAACAGCATGATTGATAATTTGATTATTTAATTGTATCGTATTGTATATTTATATGTCATTGTATATTTATGTGCATGAGAGTATTGTATATTTACAAGTCATTGCTTGTAAGTATATTAAATACAATACATTCAAGGATACAACATATGAATAAAAAAAAACCAAGTTTGGTTTAATGTGTTGGAATTTGTTAAATTATTATTGCTGCAATTATAGCTATTGAATATTTTAAATTTAAGTTATGGGTGCAACTTTATTTTTAATTCATTTCTGCATTAAAAAAAGATTGGATTGATGTAATACAGCAGCACAACACTTGGGCAATCTGCTAAGGGGGTGCATCTCAGGAGGATTTTATATGGGAAACTGTCCTCTATTTATGTATTAGACACATGAGACAGAAAACTTCATGCATCCAGCTCATTGGTAAGGTATTAACCTGTGATCTACCAGTGTTCAGTGGTTTTATCCACTTGGCTATTGGTGGACTAAAATAAAAAAACTTGCAGGTGGCATAGAAAACTACTAAATATTTTAAACTAGAAAAATAAAATTAGTTCTAAAAATTATTCCAAGGAAGAATTAGGATAGGCACATTCCTAAACTCAGTGTTTTTAAAGCATTTTGGCCAAACATTCCAAAACATTTGTCAATAAAACATTTGAAACAAGTTTCTATATCATGTTCACTGTACTTGTACTTTATTGAAACTGCTGCTTGTGATGTATTGATTGATGATCAATCATCAATAATTTAAATTAGTATATTATTAACAAAATGCAATTATGTATGAAACCCCTGCATAATGATATAACTGTCTTTCTTTTTGTTAAAAGTTAATTTGTTAATGTAAGCAAAGTATTTTATTGGAACATCATCAATTGGTGAAATCACAACAAACTGTTCCTAAACATTACAAATTAAAGTTCATTAAAAGGAAAAGCTTTAACTCAATATGTTGAGTTTAAGAATGTACACATACAGTATTCTGTACACCCTCAAGAAAGAAAAAAAATCACTAGTTTCCTACAAGAAAGTGAAACAAGAAAAATGTATGCAATGGTGTGTATACTTGAAATCTACCAAATTAAATTTTATATAATTATTTCAAGATCTGTTTTCTTGGCTATTCCAATGCCATGCAGATTCCACAAATAAAGCCAATTTAGGTTAATATCCAATTTTATTGCAATAAGAAGTAGGCATTTATTTATTTGTAATTTTTCAATTTTGCTTTAATGAAATTAGTGCCTAAAGGTCAGGCACTGAAAATTTAAAACTTTTAATAGCACAGAATAAAATAATAATAAAAATAAGAACAATATTGGAACTGATTATTAAATGCTTTAACATGATAATTTTTAATAAATTACTTTTGGATTTTACTCTCTGCATTTAGGTCTCCTAATACATCTGCACATCTTTGTTTCTGCATTTGAACTTCCCCAGTTTCACTGGAAGATCACATTAAAGCTGCTAGTCATGTGACCAATAAACTATGGCTATGGCCATGTGATCAGCAGAACACAGGTGATGGACACATGACAGTTTCTGGAATTTCAGAGCTGATCACTCTACTTACAAGCATTGAAAAAGTTTTTATTAAAATTTCACTAGGTTCACAATATGGAACATATCAGATGATGAAGGACAACACTCAAAATATACCTACAAAATATTTACCATCCAACCCCAGTTTCTTTCAAAGTAGAACTTTGCAACCTGACCATCCAACTGATATGACTGATAATCACAGAAACTACTTCATACTGTAAAAATATCCAGTGTAATCAGAAGCATTATGCAATCAAATATATAAATGGCAAGTAAGTAATTATCAGTATGACTGCTGTGCTGAATTAATTATCTGTAAGCATATTTTCAATTGGATTTAGAAATGACATGAAATCAGTTAATTATTAATTGTTAGGATATATGTAAATTTCTAATCAGATTTATCAAAGATTACTAAGAATAAAAACATTATTTGACACTTCTTTCTCTTAATTTGTCATACAGTGATGTTACATATTCAGTAAATTAATTTCCATCAAGATTTGATTTGCTACAGAATTCAAGTTTTTACTTATATTGCATTTTATATTCTAATAAATGGCTATTATTTAGCCTGATATCCCTATGCAACATGGCACTGATAAAAGCAAGCATGCAGGCAATGTCACACAATCTAGTGACTAAAATTTTGCTTTATGAACTTTTTATGAACTTTGAGATATCTAAGGTGAAAAGTGATTAACTTTTGGGGGACAAAAACAAAAGAGCAATGTCTGTTTTTTGAAGAGCACAATGAATTTACTGAACAAAAAAACAAGATAGAAAAAAGATGACACATGCAAAACAGATAACATATTAAACCCTGTAACATTTACATGCCTTACATCTAATACACTGACCATGTGCAGATAAACATGGATAATAAGCTAAACATTAAAGCATTCACCATGTAACCCTAATAAGTTCTATGAATTCAATTCCAAGCAAGTTACATGGATAACAGTCTAAATGTTAATACTTTTACCATGTTATCACAGTTAGTTCCACAAACTCAATCTGAGCAGGATAAACAAAGATAGCAGGCTAAACATTAATGTGTTTGCCATAATCTCCTATATATTCATATTAAATACAAGTAGTTCAATTTAGAGATCATTCAAATATGATGTCTGCACTGGAAGGGGATATGCAAAAATTTTGTGACAAATTGTGACACAGGGTTTTATATGTGAATTTCACAACTTTACATATAAGATAACAGGACAATTTTTTGAGCTTTTTTTTTTTTGAATAAAAGGTGTGTCTTACATGCCATAAAATATGATAATACTTTTTAACAAACAAACTGATTAAATTTTTTCAACATATACAAATTTTCTTTAAGTTTAGTAAATTGAATTAGACAACTTCAGCACATATTACAGTATTGAAACATTAATCACTTAATTTAAGTAACTTTACAAAGAATCTTCATTTTGTATTTCACTTAATAATATTAAAAAAAAAACCCATTTAACTTACTACAAATAAAAGCCTACCATGACTATGGCTTTTAAACAATAAATTTGAGCATGCCTTACAACAATTACTTCACAAAATGAAATTGGTAGGGTTATGAGCAGTGTACAGTACATTCAGCTTGAGCAGCATGATTGTTTCATTCATGTCATGTCACATAGGAACAGGCTAAATAATAACCTAATAACTATATTCATATTGCATTTGTTTATTTTAAACAATTTACATTTAGTAATTACAGAAAATCCTCATTAATTCAAGCTTGGATAGTTTGAAATCCTATTAGTTTGTAACTGTACTATTTGCCCCAACCTGGGATATAGAGATTTACACGTTAAGGAATTCAGTTAGTTCAAAATACAGCTACTTTGAAATTTGAAGTGAAAATTATGTCCAAACTGTGATATGCATATATTAACTTGTACATTTAGATCAAAGTTCACATGCCTCCATACTATAAGAGAATAACAGACCATGAACAACTCTAATCTGGTAATGTGGTTTTGCTTTTACAGTAACACATTTTCTGATGTCACCTTACCCATCGACTACCCTTTTTCTCTTATCTCATAAAATATTTCAGGGTTTCAGGGTTGCAAGATTGGGTTCTGGGGACAAGTAGCAGACTGAGATATTTGTAGGGCTCTGTGCTACTAGATTTGGGCAACTTACTACTTTTTGGGCTATTTTAAAAATAATTTGAATTACATTTTGAGAATGCTGCTTTACTTTTTTAAAACCTATCTGGCAATCTGTGACATACTCAGTGGACACATGCTGTTTACCTGCAGTTTATTTATATTATTATTAATTATTATTAACCAATAAAAGTAGTATTTTGTATATGTAGCCATATTCTGTTTGCTTAATAAAGTTCATTAGTTACATGGCATTTAGCATCTGTACAAAAATATGTAAATCTTGGCTAATTTAAAGTCATAATTATTTTGTCCCTCAAATTTCAAACTAATGAGGATTTCCTGTATATTTATTTATTGATAGTTGAAAAATACAGCTTTTGAAAGTTTATCTTGAATTAACCAATCTGCAATTGTCATTATACCATTAATTTTGTTAATGACAAAATAAAAAAAATAAAAAACAACAGATCTGTTGTACTCAATTCTAAAAATTTTAACATAATTAACTCAGTATTTCTGTATTATATACAACTAAAGGAGGAGTTTATAATTAATAAATTATATCTAAAAAAACACATATACTAAAATTAATAATTTAATAATTATATTCCTAAAAGTGAATGATCAATCTTATGAAGTTAATTACATTATTAATTTTTAATTGTTTCCATTAGTATAAATTAAGTAACTTACTTGTATCTGTGAAGCATGTAAATCCATTGTTATAATATGATCTGCACCGGCAACAGAAAGCATATTGGCAACTAGCTTAGCAGAAATGGGAGCTCGACTCTAAAGTCATTAAATTAAAAGTTTTTAAACGATTTTAAAATTTTTATTAATTTCCCATATTAAAACTAACCTTATCCTTTTTATCTTGACGAGCATAAGGATAACAGGGGATAACGGCAGTAACACGAGAAGCCGACGCTATTTTGCATGCATTTATCATAATAAGCAATTCCATTAGATGATCGTTAACTTCAGCACAACCAGTTTGAACTATATAAACATCTTCTCCTCTAACTGACTCTCCTATTTCAACACTAAAAAATAAAAATTTTACACAAATCTTTGTGTTTTTAAATAACTCACAAACAAAATATTTATCAACTGTGAAAAACAAAACATTTTCAAATTGCAAAATATATATTTAAAAAAAAACAACAAAAAATTGAAGTTTTTAATAATATAAAATTAATATTAATTTTTATTTAAGAATTTAATCAAGAATTTTCTTGTATTATATGCAAGTTTTCTAGATATATGTAAGTTAACATCTAAAGCATTCATCTTATTCCTCATGGTTTATGTTATCAAGTGACATTAAATCATATAAACAATCATTAGAGTTTACAAAGCATTATGTAAACTGCTTTAATAATTCAGATATTAGATATAAATACATTGGTCAAAGCAATTCTAAAGTAAAATTTGACAAAAGAACTGATTATATTACATTATACGTAACTTACCACGTTTCCTGATTGCTGAATTTTTTAAGGACAACTTTTCCTAATGTTATACCGAGACGATCGACAATTCTTTGGGCAAGATCTGGATGAGACGATCCTCCGAATACTTTTATATTTGGCATTTTTTAACTTACAAAAAAATGATTCGGTTTATGGACTGTTAGCACTCAAACCGGCAGACGGAAAGTCACTAATGATAAAACAGCTCCCTCTTTTGTCTGACAATTTCGATAACGCAGCATTTTATTTTTATATTAAATATATAATGAAAGGTTAAGAGTGAGTAAGTTACTAAAATAAAAATAAATATAAAGAATTTCTGAAATAGAAAGTTAAAGATATTAAATTAATGTAATTGTTTTTTTTTGTTTTGTTTTTTTTATTGGGTACGTTTGTAAAGTCGAAGGAGTTAAACGTGTTAGTAACGAATCGTTCGCATAGTAGTAGTCTCGCCCAGTACGCATGCTCTGCGGTGATGACGTTTCGAACGAAACTCTAACGAAGTTCACGAGAGTTAGTTTACCTTCTTGGGTACGTTCGTAAAGTCGAACGAGTAAACGAGAATGACGTCATCGTTATTCTTATTTAGTTAGACTTTTCGAACGATTCGTTTATAACTAAATGGATGTGTCTAAAATCGAAGATATGAATGTTGTTAGTGCAGCCTTATCCGAAATATTTTTCTTAGATTGCTTCGGGTGGACAGTTATTCTAATCATTTCACCTTTTAATTCACAATTTAAACACTCGAGTAGATTTAGAAACATCGATATCGTCGGCCGCCATTTTCTTAACGAAGTGAACTAACTCTTTCCTTCGTTAATTTCGTTAGAGTTTCGTTCGAAACGTCATCACCGCAGAGCATGCGCACTGAGCGACACTACTACTTTTAGAACGATTCGTTACTAACGCGTTTAACTCGTTCGACTTTACGAACGTACCCTTCGTTATGAAAATGGCGCCCGACGATATCGATGTTTCTAAATCTACTCGAGTGTTTAAATTTTGAATTAAAAGGTGAAATGATTGGAATAACTGTCCACTCGAAGCAATCTAAGAAAAATATTTCGGATAAGGCTGCGCTAACAATCTAAGAAAAATATTTCGGATAAGCATATCTTCGATTTTAGAAACATCCATTTAGTTATAAACGAATCGTTCGAAAAGTCTAACTAAATAAGAATAACGATGACGTCATTCTCGTTTAACTCTTTACGAACGTACCCTAATGTTAATATTTTATACGTCGATGCGTCTCCCTCCTGAAGGCCTTTTTACATGCTCGTCATGGGTTCGAGCATGTTTACAATGAAAGCGGAGGACAGAACCCGACGCTTCTTATTTAACTCACAATGTCAGTCTTGAAATTTTCCGAACCGATCCGGACTTGAATTTGTATCCTCTGGAGCTTCAGGCAGTGGCATAGCTAGGGTTCGTGCCGTCTGGAGTGGTCAAATCTAGCTCGTGTAGGTGGTTACTTTGAAGGTGATAGTGCGTCGGTGTTTTAAACTATTCAAAGCAAAAAACTACAAGCCGAGTTCCCGAACGTTTGCATCCTACTACGTAGAAATGACGTGTTTACTTTTTATTCTCTATTTTGCAGTAAGATGAAAACATTTCGAGTTTGTGTGTATTGTTTATGATACCGTGTTACTAAATCCTGTGAATGTAATGATTAATTTGCACAATTACCTCCTGCATAACAAACGCCATTCTGCAGGCCATCACGTACTGTACGTGATCGACATCCATGCCAGTGTTATACTATGCAATTAGTGCTGTGCGATGCATCGATGTGACATCGACAAATCGATGTTTTTGTTCCTCGATGCATCGATCTTCCGATGTTTTTAAAACATCGATCCTGAATCGATGTTAGCAATATGTGAATTTTGAGTCATCGATGCATGCAGGTCATTCTTTGTTCCTAGTGTTACCACCTGTTCGGTTTTCACCCGGACAGTCCGGGAATTTCGTAGAAATTGTGAAATTGCGATGAAACAAAGTTCTTGCAAATATGTTTACAAATTTACACTATTTTAACAATGAACGANTTGTTCCTAGTGTTACCACCTGTTCGGTTTTCACCCGGACAGTCCGGGAATTTCGTAGAAATTGTGAAATTGCGATGAAACAAAGTTCTTGCAAATATGTTTACAAATTTACACTATTTTAACAACGAACTCACACTCATTGAAACTCATCCTCAACTCTGCCATGTTAGTCTGTTTGCGCCGACTTGTGCAACCTGTCGACTTTGAGGCTGGATGGCCGAACGGTCAAGGTGGCAGCCTACCGCTCTGGGGGATCCGAGATCGAATCCGGACGGGTCAAGGAATCCCCAGGAATTTTTCGGGGGGTGGTCCGTTCGGATATGTCGGGCCCCGTCCTTCACCACCCGGTCGCCCCATTGTGGGCCTGGCCGAACCCATAATGGGCCTGCTATAAAAGGCCCTCTTAGTGCCCACAGGGCGGAAAGAGTAAAAAAAAAACCCTGTCGACTTTTTTTTGCATGTACGATCGTACACGTATCAAATAGAGCTAAGTTATCTGTACCTGCTCTTTCTTAATTTAGGTTACTTACATTACTCCTAAGCAAGTCCCTAACTGTAACTGATTTAGAACCGGCATGCACGTTATTCTTCGCATTGTAAAATGAAATTGCGCATGCATCAGGAACTTCTGTTCGAACAAACCTAGTTTTGTTTTTTTTTTTAATTGTTTGAGTTTATCTTGATTGAACATCGATGTTGCAATGGGCATCGATCAGACATCGATGTGAAATCCGACATCGAAATTTAGCATCGATGCTTAGGCGAACATCGATATTTGACATCGATGTTAAAATTATAGACATCGCACAGCACTGCTATGCATTTGACAGCAGTGGCGTGCCGTCATTGGACGCGGTGGATGCGCCGCTTCACTTGTATTTTCTAAAAAATAAATACATATTAATTTTAATTATATGAAAATAATCGCGCAATATTTTATTATAACCGCATTGTGTATCTTATTACAAATTTCTTTACTACACGTGAAAAAAAATAAGATTGCTATTGTACATTCGAATATTAGTGGCGGAGTGGACGCGCTGTATTGTCAGATCCAAAAAGCCAGATTTGCGCATGCGCTTTACAGAGCACCAACCTCACCCGGTTTAGCCCAAGGACTATATACTACAAGGATAGCCAGATCCCTATTCTACAATGTTAGCCAGGAATGGCAAGTTAGTGACGTCAGCACGAGTCCTGACCTCTCTGTTTACATAGAGCAGGGTGTGCACGTGTTTAGTTTTCGCTTTTAATATTCGTCCAATTTTGTGATTAACGAAGTGATTTATTTTAATATTTCTGTAATTGTTTTATTTGACTAAGTTTTTTATAAGGTAAGATGATTTAAATATAAGTCATTAAATATTTAAAGCTATATTTTTATGTTAGGTGAAGAACAAAATGCTGAGTACTAGGTGTGCTGTGTATGGTTGCAATAATAACCTTCTTTTTTCAAATTGGAAGCAACCTGTTTACATCGGGTTTGATCAAAAAATGACAAGAGAAATACTTTTAAAATTAATAGCAGAACTTTATTTACTATCGTATAATGTAGTAGCTTGCGTCAGTGACTGTAGTTGCAGTAACATAAGTTTATGGAAAGAATTGAATGTGAATATCAATGAAACGTTTATTATGAATCAATTATTATTATCAATGAAACGTATATTAGAGATATAAATATGTGGTTCGACATTTTTAATAGCTATGCACCAAAAGGTTCTGTTCCAAGCAAAAATGGATATGGTGTAGACTTGGAATTACAAGAAGAACATTTAAATAAAATGATAAAAATAATCTCAACAATGAGAGCAAGTGGAAAAAATGCCCTCCAAATTTTCCAGAAAGGAATGATAATCTCAATGAAATCGCTAATTGATCTTTTTCAAGATATGAAATCGACTTTTGATATAAAATACATCTGCACTCACAATTTAAATCAAGATTGTCTGGAAAACTTTTTTTTTTAAAATTAGAAGCCGGGGTCCTAATGAACATCCAAGCCCATTAAATGCTATATATAGGATTAGATTGATTATTTTAGGTAAGAATCCTGGTATTTTAGAGTCAAAAGTAAATACTACAGATCGAAGACAAGAGGAATATATTATACCCAAAGTTTTAGAGAAAGCACATGTAGAAGTATCAAGTGAAAATACAGACCAATATACTGAATGTAAAACTACTTTTTCTTCAAATAAATCTTCAGGAAACTCTACATGCAATCTAGACTTTAACACAATCTCTGAAGAAACTTCCTACGATGCTCTCGAGTATATAGCAGGATATTTTGCCTATAAATATAAAGAAAAATACCCAAACTTAATTAATTCCACTAACAAAATTAAAAATCATTACAACTATAGCATTCCGTCATGGGTGCAACATTTATCTTATGGAGGGCTTATTAAACCTACTGATGAATGGCTAGCAAAAATTATAGAATGGAATAAATATTTCGAAATATATCACGATGAATCGTATAAAAAAGGCCCCGGAGTTGTACAGAATTAGTCAGTGGAAACAGTTTTACCTTTTACTTTAATAAAAGATTTTTGTAAATTAAGAACTATAATAAGAATTAATTATAGAAATCTTAAACAAGAAAACTATAAAATATTGAAAAGAATGCCTTCTGAAAATGGTGATTGTCGAAAAAAAATTAAAAAGTTAAGTAAGATAATCACATAATAAAAAATATAGCTCATTAATTTGTTAAATAAATATTAGACAAAAGACTTGTAAATTTATTGACGTACAGTACACTTATTAAATCCGAAAATTCTACAGTAGTTTACATTTAGTAGTAATTTAATAATTAATTAAGAAATGATTTAATATTTTATCGTATTTTGTTCTTTGAAAGATCTGTCATGTTGAAGTAGAGGGCTTGCTGTGACGTCACATAGATCCAAGGTCACGCTAACAAATATACGGGATCTGGCTATCCTTGTAGTTTAAAATCCTTGGGTTTAGCCGGTGGAAGCCCAGGACCTTGGGTGAATGCTACACGTATACCGCATCCAATTCTATCCAGGACCGGTTCTGGGCAGTTAGCCGCCGCCTGCTAGATATTTGGCCGCCCTCGCCCGATTACGTGAATCACGAGTAGATTTATGATAGTTCTGTATAGTTGACAGGAGTTAAAAAAATCTATTAAAATATTTGATATATTTATTTCGCTCTCCGATTTTATATTCCTCACGGATTTCAATGTTAAACCAGTGATATTACGATTTCGTATATCTCATCTGTAAGGGGATGTAGAAAAAAAACGTGTAAAATTCTTATATAATGTTAAAAAATTAACTGTTACTTTGACAGCGTCATTTACAACTAAATTTAATGAATGAGAGAGATGCACGAAGTACAGAAAAAGCTCTACAATTTATTTTCCTTAAATTTACGATTTATGTATCCGTTGTCTTTCCACTTCTTTCCCGAGACTACAAATATTCGAGTGCAAAGTAACCGGTTTCGACTTATTTCTACTTAAGAAGTAGTTAAATAATTAAGCGATTAGAGA